TTGTTTAACATTTTAAGTTCTGGATTTCTGCCTCTGTTACCTATGGTTTGCAATTAAATCTCTCAGAACTCATCTCTGCCTCCCTGCCTCTGCATTTGGGTCCTCAAGCAACCTCAGCACCCACTCCTCACATAAACATTATGAAGTGTTATTTAAATTTGTTGTGATTGATCCCTTCTCAGGAAAAAGAACCAGTGAGAGAGAGAAAGCTTGAAGGTGGAAACAGAGCTTACCGGAAATCCTTGTACAGACCTTACATAGCTTTCAGTCAGCTGTCTTCACCTTCAGATGGAAACTTCAAAGTTAAAGCAGAAATGAAGCGTTTTAATCATCAGAGGGTTTACTTCTTTGCAAGTTGTGCTCCATGCTAAACCCTCAGACACTTAAAATGCAGTAAAGGGAAGTGGCCTTAATGAGATGTTATGAACAGATTGCTGAACTGTATTGGTAATGTGTCACTGAATACTGATGCCTGCTGGACCTTTAAAATCCCTAAATGCTGCCTATTTGACAGACTTAACTGATACGGACTTTGATGACCCAGTTGGACAATATAATCGAAAAATTTGTTATATTAATGTGTATATTGTTTCATGTATTCTATAAAATATTTAAATTGAAAGTATCTTTGATATTTTTAGATGGAGCCAATAAATAGTGTGAACATATAAAGTTAAAACTAAAGTGAACATCTGAATGAGGAGAGGGATTTAGAAAAGTGCTCAATAAGTAAAGTGATTAAATAGAGTCTATTGGAGTTGAATTTCAATTCAAATAAGGTGAGTGAAAACATGAGATCAAAATGGTCCCACACAGCTGAAACATTTCTTTTGCATCGTTAATGAACTCCGACAGATGAGAGATTTTTTGGACGGGTGCATTCCTGTGATATATAGACTTATAAACACAGTTCATATTGACCCAGCTCCTGTTTCGGTCAGGTGACGTCAGGACTGGCCGTAGGCATAAGCAAACTAAGAGGCTGCTTGGGGCCCCCTGGCCACCAGAAGCAGGGAGAGATTTACCATTTTATGGGCCCCCCAAGTTCCTGGG